TACTACAAAGACCCTCCATGTTGGCAGCTCCACGGTATATTGCCTCCTCTGTCAGCTGCATCTTAGAACGCGCTTTGCCCCTTTGACACTCAACCTTGATTTTAACGTTAACGGGAATTGTCTATCATGGCGTGGAATTCTGAACCATATCCTGGCAGATGCCGTTTTCCTACCGAAACGGCGGAGCAGTTTTCTGCATCGGGCGCATCGGGCGTGCGACGCATTCAGCTCACGCACCCTTCCCCGTCGCCGCACTACCCCGCCCCGCCCCGCCAAGGAGCACCAAATGAGAGGGTGCCGCGAGAAGTGGGCGCGCATATGCTTGCTGGTCGAGGACAGCCTCGGCCAGCACCCCCAGTGCCCGAACTGGCTGACACCTGTTAAACCTTGCAACCCTCTGGGCCTGGTCGATGAAAGTGAAAACTGGCATAGGTGTGGGGAAGGGCTGCTCCTGAGGATCGGGGCGTGGCGTGGCGTGGCATGGCGTGTGGGCGGCAAGGAAGCCCCGCAACAATTTTGGCCGGCTGGGTCGGTTTCTGTGTACGGCCGCAAGTGCAGAACGTGCACATGATATTGGACGGGTCCGAGGTGCCGTGGCCGCACAGAGTGCGCCACGGTGTTAGTTTCCCCTCGAAATTTTGCCCCCTGCCTCCCCCCTCCCACCCCTACCCTCTTGCCACTGCGGGGATGGGGGTGAGAACTCTATCGGGTTTCTGATAAGTAAGAATGTGGCCACACGACAGTTGGAGAGAGCACACGTCGGTTTATTAAGTCGCAGTGCGGGGAGGGCCTGGGCCGGGAGATGCTGTAAGCCCTCCGCGGGGGTGCGGAGGGGCAGGGGAGGGAGGCAGGTCCTGGACACTACTGATGGGGGCCCTCCTCGGCGCCCTAGCTTACACATTACCAACGAACAGAGGGAGACTAGAAATCACTGTCATATCAGTCCTTCAACACCGATGATCGGTGCTCGTTCACCTGGAGTTCCATTTGAGACGTTTTGACTCCAGATAATCCGCACGGCTGCCGGATGTGTTGCCTACCTGGACGGGCTGTACACGCCACGCAAGGTTCGAGCCCGTCCGGATGCAGCTACTCCATTTCAGGCCAAGACAAAAGGCTAGATTGCCTGTAGGAGTACACATCTCAAGAGTTTTGTAGCAGGTTTCAAAGAAGATGCCCCATCACTAGCGCAGATACAGCGCAGTTACGAGAATTCGTCCTTGTTCCATCAGTGCTGATTTCTGTTTTGTTTTTTTGTTTTTTAATTTAAAAACTCCATCTGTGCCGCGAGGAGGGCCCTTACTCTGTGGGGGTAGGACTCACCTGTATTTTCCTCAAGTCTGCCCTGTCCTCGGGGTCCTCTTAGTCTGGTGCACCGGCCCAGTCCAAGTCACTCACCACACTGACACTGGCGAGTGGAGGCGGGCAGGGCCGAGAGCGGAGAGCCGCCCCTGGCAGGGCAGCTCCAACCCCCCGCACGTACCACCCCTGCCCCCGCCCCTCCCACCCCATGCGACGCCCCGCCCAGCTGCGCCCCACTCTCCCACAGATGCGGGCCGGCGCCACCAGGAGACTTGAACGGTCGAGTTAACGGCGCCCCACTGTAAGGCCCAATTCATGCAATTGAATGTATGGAAATACGGCAATACCACTTTTGATTTATAAATTTAGGATTGCATTAAATTTGTACGACAAAATAATTTGGACTGACATCAAAATCACTTTAGATTTATTATCACAAGCTCAAAAATACTCCAACAGTGTGTTAGTCAAAAATGTCAAAATGTTCAGCTTTCAATAAGAACACAAGAACAAAGATAAGGAATGTTCAGTGTAAAATAACTGTAGAAATGACAATTTTACATATATGGCATTTGCTTTCACTTTACTTGACAGAACACAACTGGGGCACTCTTAATTACATAAACAAACCAACATCAACTTCCTAACTCGAGTACAAAAGTACGGCATCCTAAAAGAGATCAAAAGAAAAACACTTAGATAAAATGTGATTATTGTTAAGTAGAGAGAAAAAAATCATATTACTGTAACAATATTGTGAGTACACAATCAAACTTCAATGTAGCTGGGTTGTAAAGATAAGTAAAAAGGTACATAGATACTAAATTTTTCAAAAAAACAATACATTACTACAATTATGTGGTTCAAACATCTCCTCTTTTGAAATTTAAACAAAATATATAAGATTCAAAAATCAAAATTACCAGTAAAAATTCAAAAAAATCAAAATTACCAGTAAAAATGGTAACCTGGACTTCAAACGAACAGTCAGAAGGAATCAAAC